AAGCTAGAAGCATTGGGAGCCTGTCTCCATGACCACCGCCCCCGCCCCCAGGTGGGCAAATGTATGAATAGAAGGGGAGCTGAGAGTGGTGGTGCATTCCTGTAATCCCAGTTTCTCAAGCTGAAGTTCAAAGCCAGCCTGTACAACTTAGTAAGACTCTGTCTCAAAACAAGATAAAAGTGGCCCGGGGTTTAGAGGGAAAGGAAAACCACCATCCAGTGGAAGGACTCTGTGGAAAACAGATGACAGTAAGAAAACATGGGGAGTCAACAACAAATCCTCAAAGAAACAACTGCCCAATAAATAAGTGGGCTAAAGACTTACAGAGAAACTTCTCTGAAGAAGAAATAAGAATGGCCAATAGACACATGAAGAAATGCTCAACCACTCTAGCCATAAAAGAAATGCAAATCAAAACAACATTAACATTCCACCTCACCCCAGTTAGAATGGCTATAATCAAGAAATCTAATAACAACAGATGCTGGAGGGGATGTGGACAGAAGGGAACCTTACTGCATTGTTGGTAGGAGTGTAAACTTGTTCAACCACTTTGGAAAGTAGTATGGAGGTTCCTCAAAAGACTCCACATAGAGCTCCCCTATGACCCAGCAATCCCACTTTTGGGCATTTACCCAAATGTTTACAAACAAGACCACACTAAAGCTACCAGCACAACTATGTTTATTGCAGCATTATTTACCATAGCTAAGATATGGAACCAACCCAGATGCCCCTCAGTAGATGAATGGATCAAGAAAATGTGTTATATATATATACAATGGAATTCTATGCCTCCATCAGAAAGAATGACATTGCCCCATTTGTTAGGAAATGGAAAGACTTGGAAAAAAAATTACCTTAAGTGAAGTAAGCCAGGCCCAAAGAAACATAGGCCCCATGGTTTCCCTTATTTGCAATAACTAGTATATGTCTGAGAAAAGCGGAAAAGGTCAGATAAGATGATGTTAAGTGAAATGAACCCCAAGATAAGGACACAAGTGTTTTTTTCCTTTCTTGCTATTGTTTCTAATGTATTTATAAGGTACCACATGATTTTTTGTTGCTTTGTATGTCCCTTCCCCACGGTATAACCCCTGTTTTCATTGTATTTGATATTGATATAATTTGGGAAGGGAAAGGGAAAAAACAAATTGTTTAAATAGGGACACAGGTTGACCCATTGCAACAATGAGATGTACAAGACACTATGTCGAAAAACAAACTTCACAATTTGGCGGGGGGGGGGGGGGGGGATATAGTTGTGGAGATGGGAGGGAAAAAACAAAGGAGGAGGCAACAATGCTTGATAAGAAATGTACTCATTACTATGCTCATGTAATTGTAACCCCTCAGTACAGTATTTTCACAGTAAAAAACTTATTTAAGGGAAAAAAGAAAACATGGGGAGTGTTGAGGCATAGCAGATAGAGATAGCTCACGGTTACTTTTGTCATGAATGAAATACCGTTTGGAGATACTTTCTATGGCTTAGGCTAGAAACTAGACACTCAATAAATATATACCAGCTCTTCAACCTCTCCGTAACCCTGAAAGCTCCTAGATTACAATTACAGTTACACAAAGCCAGAGATTAAGATTGATTTGGGCCTTTTCTGTTTGTTTGTTTGGGGAGTTTGTTTGTTTTCTGTGCTAGGATCAAACTTGGAGCCTTGCATGTGCTAGGCAAACACTTTACCACGAGCTACATCCACAGCTCTTGGTTTTGGAGCTAGGATATCACTATGTAGTACAGACTAGCCTGGAGTTTATACTTTAATACCTCAACTTCCCAGGTGCTGGGATTATAGGTGTGTACCACCATGCTGAACACACAGTTTATTTTTCAATCTTTGTCTCTCTAGTCCCCAGCACAGATCCTGACACAAACCAAGTGCCCAGGAATTTTTGTCGAAGGAGTGAATTATGCAAATGAAACAGTTAAACTAGGCAGCTTTGTATAACATCGCTTCAGCATCCAGTTTATACATGGTCACCTCCGTCAAGAATGTGGCAAGGCCAGGGGCCTATGGCTCATGCCTGTACTCCTCATTAGTCAGGAGGCTAAAATACAGAGGATCTCAATTCAAGACCAGCCTGGACAGAAAAGTCTATACACTTCCATCTTAAATTAGCCAGCAAAAAAGCAAGACTGAACTAGGCACTGGTGGCTCATGCCTATAATCCTAGCTACACAGGAGGCTGAGATCTGAGGATCACAGTTTGAAGCCAGCTCCAGCAGAAATGTTTGTGAGACTCTTACCTCCAATTAATCACCAAAAAAAGCTGGAGGTGGAGCTGTGGTTCAAATGGTAGAGTGCTAGCCTTGAGCAAAACAAGTCAGGTACAGCACCAAGGCCCTGAGTTTAAGCCCCAAGATTGGCATACACATACACACAAAACAAACACAAAAACAAAACAAAACAAAAAAAAAACAGGGTTGGAGATATGGCTCAAGCAATAGGATACCAGCTATGCAATCGAGCCAAATAGGCGTGAAGCCTTAAGTTCAAACCCAATACTGCCAAAAGTGATTACTCATGTGGTAATCACTTTAACTTTCTCCCCCACCTACGGTGCTGTATTTGAGAGATTCTTTATCATGCAATACCTTGGTCTGGGCTACTATATAGTAGGTGCTCAATAAATATGGCTGGATGACCAGCAGCCCTGCTCTGCATCAGTGGTAAAAGTTCACAGTCTTCAGGACCAGGACCCACATTTAGGCCCCCATTTGCTCACTCCCCAGCCCGTGGTTCTGAGCAATGACTGTGTATGTGTGCACCACATGCATACCTGTGCCAGTCCTGGGGCTTCAACTCTGGCCGTGGGTGCTATTCCTGAGCTTTTATAACCAAGGCTAACACTCCCCGACTTGAGCCACAGCTCCACATCTTGTTGGAGGACCTTCCCTTCTCTGAGGGAAGAGGGGAAATGAGGCCAGTTTGCACTTTACCTTGTGGGAGCTTCCAGGGTCTGCCTCCAGGGAGAAATGATGGTGATTATTGTCCAGGTACTATGGGATGGCACCCACAGCAGGACTTGTGAGTCAGAAGAGGGCTGTGTAGCAGGGGCCGCGGTGGGGAGCCAGCTATGCAACTTCCTGACTCCTGATGGTCTAATTCCCATCGGCCTGCATATTTTATGTGCTGCCTCCCCACGCCAAATAAATAAATCAGGGCCACCTCCTCTGAGCAGCAGGAGCTGACTGAGGCATCTGTGGGGCTAAGGACTTCAAAAGCCTGAAGCAAGGATGCTGGACCCCCTGGCAGAGTGTGCTAATGTGACATTTAGGAGTCAGGTGACCCAGGCAGGTGACAGCTGCCTGCACAGTGTGGTGCCCCCTCCTCTCAATAGCAGGAGCTCTTTTGGAGCAGAGGAAGTGACTTTGTACAGCCCTGGTCTCCCTATGGTTGTAGGAAGCAGGTAGCAATGTGACCTAGGAGGCTTCTGCCCCATTTGCTGAGTGCTTCTCAGGGCTTAGCTATTCACCTGTGTGTCCATGAAGAATCTGTCTCAGGGCCAGAGCCAGGCTGCCTGCCATCTCCTTGGGCTCCTTGGAATTCTTTTATGAACTCTAGATATCTTTGCTGATTGGGGTCTGCAACTTGGGGGACCCCCAGTATGAGGGGGCCACGGGGGCCCTCAGTCTCTGTAGTTGTTACATGAAGGAGATGCACTGTACGGTGGCCCAGCTTAGCCCACTGTACAGTGGGCAGCTTAGCACAGAACTGTCACCTCACTGACAATCCCTGTCTGGAAATGCTGAGGGTTTGAATCTAAACTCTGAGGATGAGGGGGGCTGGGTAAAGCCACAACCAATTCTACTCCATCAGTGAGATGGGGCTGAGATATCTACTTCATACGCTGTGGGGGGTGGGGGGACAGAGAGTGGGAGGGTCACTGAACAATGAAATAAAGAGCCCAGATTGGGCTCCCTGTCTTTGTTGTTGCTATAACAGAACACCCAATTTAGGGTGCTTCCTAAAGAAAAGAGATTTGTTTAGCTCATGGTTTAAGAGTATGGTGCTGGCATCTGCTCAGCTCTGTTGTGTCTCATTCATGCCAGGGCAACATTAATCTTGTCCAAGGGTTATATCCCCAGTGTCCATCCCATCTTCCACTGGCCCCACTGTCTTAGAGGCTTTAACAGCCTCTATCCTGCTAGGCACGGGTGTCTTATCCCTGTAATCTAAGCTACTCAGGAAGCGATCTGGGGACTGTAGTTCTAAGCCATCCCAGGAAAGAAAGTACTCTTATCTCTAATTAATCACCAAAAAGACAAAAGTAGAACTGTGGCTCAAGTAGTAGAGCACTAACCTTGAGCACAAAAGCCCACGAACAGCGCCCAGGCCTTGAGTTCAGGCCCCCAAGTGACAAAGAAAAGAAAAGAAAAGAAAACACACTGAACATAGTTGCAAGGAACAAAGGGCAGGGAGACACTGAGCTCCAAGGACACACAGAGCAATGTGGCCTCAGAAAGATGCGTTAGGATGCCAGTGTCCAAGTGAGGAGTGCATGGTCCCCTCCACTGGCTCCTCACCACATCATGCCTGAAGTACACTGGCCAATCCTTGGGTCTGCACTCATCAGAAACACTATGGCCTTGTGGGTGTGGCCCAAGGAGAGGCCTGGTGGGAATACAAATGGAAAGGAAGTTCTGGAAGAAGCCATTGGGGCTGCCCTATCTATATCTTGAGACTGTGGCATTGTCCTAGGGCAGAAGGAGCAGAAGGGATCGACGTGGTCCTGAGGGCAGAGCTGAGGAGGCTGTCACAGGAGACATGTGGGAACGGGAGAGTCTAGTTGGAGGTGTGGGTTCTCCATCTTGGGGTACATAGCCCAGGATGGACCCCAGCTGAGTAGATAGTATATGAGGGGCTCCCAGCCAGATGGTTGGAGGCTTTGTCATCCTAACTGGGGGAGAAACTTCAAGGAAACAGCCAGGGGTTTCCAAGCACAAAACCCCACCTAATAGTCCACCATCTTGCTCTCCACAGACAGCAGGGAGGTGAAAGTGGGCGAGTACAACGCTGTGGCTGACACACTGGAGATCATCAATGACACCATCAGGTTCCAAGGTAAGGCAGGTGGGCTTCTTGGAGGAGGGTCACTCCCAGTCATTCCCAAGCCTGGACACTGTTAGATAATGTCAGAGCCCTGGGCTTCCCGGGGCCAAGGGAACATCCACTGTGCATAGACTTGCTCACTAAGCACAGGGTCCCTGTTACTCTTGTGGGCCTAGTGGATCAGTGGAATTCAGCTTTGAGAACATTGCAAAGCTCCAGACAGTCTCCAAGCATGATTCCTGAGTGCAGCCCCCATGCCCCACCTGAGAGACCATCACCAAATATATACTTCCCATTACCTCATGGAGGACAGAAACTTGGCAAGTGGGTAGGCAAGTCCTGTTGTCTCTGTTGTACAGTAGGAAGATGGCTCAGAATTCACAGCCTGTAAGAAGCAAGCCTGTTCCAACCACCAGGGTCCTGATCCCCAAGATAGGTCTGTCTGTTCGTATACTCAAGAGATGGAAAAATGAGGAGGTTACTGAATAAGGATTAGGGTTTTCAAAATTAAAGGAGAGCAGCTCAGGCTGTAGTTTAGTGGTAGCGCACTGACCTAGCATGCATAAGGCCCTGGTACTGCAAGAGAGAGTGGGGGGAGGAAGGAAGGAAAGAAGGAAGGGAAGAAGGAAGGAAAGAAGGAAGGAGGGACGGAAGGAAGGAAAAAGGACAAAAAGAAAAGAAAAAATTTAAAGGAAAGATTCAAACACAAAATAAAGAAGATGCGAACCCCCTTTTTTGTTTTTGTTTTTGCTTTTTAATGTGCTGGTCCTGGGGCTTGAACTCAGGGCCCGGGCTGTCCCTGAGCTTTTTTTGCTCAAGGCTAGCAATCTACCACTTGAGAAGCACAACTTCACATCCAGCTTTTTTTTTCTTTTGCTGGTTAACTGAAGATAAGAGTCTGACAGACTTTCCTGCCCAGGCTGGCTTCAAACCACCATCCTGAGTAGCTAGGATTACAGGCACAAGCCAGTGGCACCTGGCTGTAAACCATCTTTGTTTGAAGGAAAGCTATAGTTTCCTGTGATCCCCACTGCCCACAGAGGCAGGCACCTTGTTCCATGTCATGGCCTCAAGATATCCATGAAGTGCCCCCCCCACTTCTCTGTGTGCTCTCACGAATCCCTCACCCAGGCTGCTTAGGGTTCTTCCATCTGAGATGACACCATGGTGCCTTGCCTGTGCTATGCCTGCTGCCGCAGTATCACTTCCTCACCTTCCTGGTGATGATCCCACTCTCTACTCATCCTCCAAGTCTTGCCTCTGACTCATCATTTTCTGGAGGATCTCCTAGCTGGGGTGGAGGGTGTGGGGGGAGAAGTAGAGCTTTACTCTGCCCCCTGCAAAGTGGGTGCCTGGTATTGGCATACCACCTGGGAATGTGGTCAGAGGAGGTACTTGGGTTGGGGTTAGAGTGCAGGCCTGATCAAAGCCCTGCCAACGCACCCTGTACTGTCACTAAAAGTTACTTAACGCCTAGAGAACTGCAGCCTCTGTGAGCTTGTTGGAGGGAACAAGCAAGCAATCTCTAGAAGTTCTATTCCTTATAAAATAGATGATATATGTAACACATAGGACATCTATTCCCTATTACAAATGTGAGACGTATGTAGACATATAACTGCATAGGAAAAACTGTGCAATCACAGGATGCACTCTGTAGCATCCTGTGATTGCACATTGCTTTTCCCTTTTTTTCTGGCTAGAGTGGAAATTTCCTGAGGGCAGGGCCTGGGTCTTTGTATCACTGATGCCCAGCCCTGGGCCTGGCAGGCAAAAGGTGATGATCGGTGGTGATGAGTTGGTGGGCCAGGGGTGAATGAACTGGGGGAGAGTGAGAAAAACAATTAGGCTGCAATAGCTCTAGCATCAGCCATTGCTATGGGTCTCCATGACATTTTAGTATTGACAGAAGACAGAAGAAGATGGTGTTGATTTTCTGAAGTTGTTTCTAAACAGTGAGCCCCAATCTCATGTTACCTTAGTCCCAAACCTCAGCCCCATTGCTCAGTCTTCCCAGCTTTGACCCCCAATCTCCAGAACTGCTTGTGCATTTGGGAGCCAGAGGCCCCTGAGCCAGCCTCTGGCAGTCTAGGTGAGAGGCAGATGGAGAGTGAAGAAGTTTCTAGATGTTAAGCTTTTACATCTGGAAGCAAGACATACTCCTATCTACTTTGTGTCAGTCCTTGAAACCTCTTCTTGTAAATATTGCTCTTCATGGAATAGTTAAGATTCTCCTTACCACATCAATAGTTTCCTTAAACTTCTTAGATAGCCCAAACTCTTTTTAGCCAATGACTGTTTCCAAACAAGTAGGAACTTGCAAGCAGAGGTTTTTAAACACAGATTTTCCATGTCTGCCCATCCCTGGCTTGTCTCCTGGGACGGAAAGCTGGCCCCCACCACAGTACTGTAGAGTCATCATGACCCCTGCAGGAACACCTAGTCTTGGTCATTCTCCTGCATCCAGCACACTCCACATATCCCTACAGGAGGGGAACTCTTCAAGTGTCACAGTTTCCCCTGAAATAGCAGCTGAGAGAAATCTGGGAAAGTCCCTGCAACCTGCATCCTAAGCCGCCAACCTAGACTAAAAATAAAGCAGAGTAACTTCATAATCGGGAGGGAAAGGCATTTGCTCAGAGACCCTCAGCCTCTCCCTTCCCCACCTCCAGGGTCCTGATGCCCTTCAAGAGTGAGCCAGGCTGCTCTGCAGGCCCAGAAAGAATGGAATCCCACAACTTCAGTCCTGCCTAGCACATCAGGAAGGGAGGTTGCTTCTGCCTCCCACGGTTAGCAAGTCTCATGGAAACAGAAAACCAAAGAGCTTGCATAACAGACTGACCTTGAGGCTGGAAGCACATATGTGTCAACCTGGAGCTGATAAGTGGGGTGTCTTCCCTGTTGAGGGGGTGATCATTTATCATGTATGGCTGGGGCACAGTCCTTGAAACCAAACCAAGTTCCTCACCCTCAGTGGGGCCCAGTGCTCCCTGCTCACCCCACCCAGCTGAGCCTCCCAGCTGTTGTTACCTTTGAGGCTGAATGATGATGGGTTTTCAACGGTATAATTAGAACGAATCAAATTCTAGTCTTCTAATGGCTATTAAATGCATCATAAATCCTTTATTGATTCTATCTGAGAAAGAAGGAAGTCTTGGCTCAGCCTCCAGGCTGGGCAGACTGGCCAACCAGTGGATCAGCCCACCCTGCGGATATATAGTTGTGCCTTGCGTGAGGTTGTAGCAGGGGTCAAGCCCAATGTCAAAGATGCAGAAGCAAAGCTCTCTTTGAAAAACGACTGTGGGTTGGGTCCATGATATCTTTTCCTTCCTCTCCATAGGATCCGAACCACCAAAGGATAAGACCATCATCTTGGAGCAGCTGCGGAAGATCTCCCTACCTCTCTATAGTGTCCTCTCAGTCCTCACCATCCTTGGCATGATCATGGCCAGTGCTTTTCTCTTCTTCAACATCAAGAACCGGAACCAGAAGTAAGTGTTCATCTCCCAACTCCCTGCCAGACTGAGCTCAGAATCTGTGTATCCCATAAAGGACTCTCCAGGGGCAGCAGAGTGTTTGGGGCAGTTTCCTGAGTGGGTTGCTATGTTGCTAGGACACACACACATGCATGCACATGTATGTTCCTGGTTGCACAGGACTCTCTGATAAGCCAAGCTAGGAAAATGCTAGATTCAAGTGGAACTATTCAAGTCCACAGGGCTTCCCAGAGCTCTGGACATGCCCAGTACATTGGTAGTCCAGGAGCAGATACAGGAGACAGAATTTCTAGCTTCTTAGCCCCACCCAGCCCCTGTGGGACTCTCCTGTAGTGACAGGACTCCTATTGGAAGGTTGACATGGTGGCCCAAGAAGGCCCTCCATTAATCAGCTCCCAATCACGCCCATCCTCGGCTAAGAGTCACAAAGCTCCAAGCCTGGGGCAGGGGGCCTGCTGTCCACATGTATGCCTCAGGGTTTGCCTGTTTGGCTTCTTCTTGATCTTTTTTTTTTTCAATCCCAGCATCTTCCCTCTGCTCTCCCAAGGAGAGACCCCACTGTGAGTTATTCTGGTCAGCTATGGATAGAACAGGCTACCTCTCCAGGCACTGGTGTGGATGAAACACAGGCAGATTCTTCGGTTTTCATGGCAAATCCCTGAACCCAGCTCCCGCCTTACAGGGAGGGAGAGGCTGAGCTGGGGCTCCAAGCATGCGCTTTCTAGGGCAGTCCCATTGCACCCACCCACGCAGAGCCAGAGCCAAGGCTCTGCCATTGTACCCAGAAGCCACATTGTGTCACTTCACAGGCTGCAAGCAACAATTCCAGGGGAACTGGTTTTGTTTCATTTCTCCCCCTGTTTGCAAAGGAGGAATTGGGGGGGGCGGCAGGGCAGGGGCAGACGGGACTCATGGCTTTTATGGCTTGCTTATCTGTTTGTTTGAAGTACTTGTTCAAGCCAAACCCACTTCCTATTCACTTGGTGTTTCATTATCTTTGTTACAATACCGTATATATTGCTTTAAAAAAAAATTGAAGCAACTTTCGTCTACTCAGTACAAAGGATAAATAACAACCTAGTAGCATTTGGCCCAAGGCCTAGGCACATAGTCCTCAGTTCATGTGGCTTTGCCCTCCCAGGTACCTCCAGATTCCCATCAGTGCGGCAGGTCGCCCTCTCACAAGTCCAAGCTCCTTTAATGCTTTAACTACCCCCTGCCCATCTCAGTTTCCTGGGGCAAATTACCCTTTGTCTTTCCAAAAGGCAGATCCACATGATTATTTCAGTTTTGCAGATTGGCTTGCCACTGAAAACTCTACAAAGAGACAGGAAATACATGTCTGTGCTTCCAAAAATCCCCCTCACTGCAGCTTTCCTAAATGCTACCTACCCTTCAAGTGTCCTCCTCCAGGAAGCCCTCCTCCCACCACTGGCCTCCCCCTCCTCAGCCTGCTGTAGCAGAGAATGAGAATTCCACCTTAATAGTTCATGGTTTACAAAAGGACCTCAGAGACTCATTGTCACCCAAAGAGCAAGATTAGCTGGTCTACTCACATGCCAGGAAACTAGCCAGGTTAAATCACTTGCTGAAGGTAGAAGGGATAGGCCTGGGTCCAAGCATTCTCAACTCCAACGCCTGGGTGTAGTCCACACCCACAAAGCAGCAGCCTCTTATTGTGCTGTCACTTGAACATAGGCCATCCTTAAAATGTGAAGAATTGCTAGAACTGGAGAAAGCAGGAAAACGTCCAAAGAACGATTGACAACAACTACAATCTGCAGAAGAGCCACTGAGCCACAGGGCACCCAGAAATCCAAGGTTTTCTGAGCTGATTGTGCTGGCGGGGGAGGGGTAGTGGAACCAGGTACCTCTAAGGCTGAATGGTTTAACTTCGATCTGGCTTGTTGAGCACCTGGGAGCCACAGCAAGATTCCTGAAGGCAGAAGAGAGCAACATGTAGAGTTTGAGGATACCAAGAATGCCTCCAACTGTAGCCTAGTCAAGATAGGATAGGGAACTACAATGAGGGCTCTAATGTCTACTTCTCTACTTCTTGGGGTAGCAGCTGGTGACAGAGAGGTGTTCCTACCTGCATGGAACAGTGTGAGTTTCCTGAGTGCTCAGAGGCAGCCAGATGATCACTCAACACCTGATGAGCACAGTTCCTGAGCAATCCTGAATACTCACCTGTGGACCTCTCTGAAGGGAAGCAAGGAGTATGGCGTGGGAACTACCACCTTGTTGAGAAACGAGGCTCAACTCAAATACAGAAGTCTTGTGTTGGAAAGTATTCCCAGTCCTAGCCAGAAACAAAACAAAACAGAGCAGAACAAACTAACAAAAGCAACCCTCGTGTCTTAGCACTTTTGCATAAACTGAAAACTCAAGTGAATGAGAAAAGTTGAAGTAAGCTATTTCCTCAAGAACTCATACAGATGAACATGAACAAGGAATCAGGAAGATCAGTGATTAGAAATATGGGGGTGTTTGGCCTCCTTTAGGGCAGAGCAGGTGGCCTCTGGCAGGTGAGGACAAGGGGAACCAGAGTGTCTCTGGCTCCAGCCTCAGCCGCAGAGCACATCTGGGAGCTTTGAGAAATGTTCACAGAAAGGATCTGTAAAGATGTCCCCTCTTCTCTTTGCCAGGCTCATCAAGATGTCAAGTCCCTACATGAACAATCTCATCATTCTTGGGGGCATGTTATCCTATGCATCTATATTTCTCTTTGGCCTCGATGGATCCTTTGTCTCAGAAAAGACTTTTGAAACACTTTGCACTGTAAGTCCCTCTGCATGTGGCAACGGTAAATGGCAGAAAGGTTTCTGAGTGACCTTGGTCATCAGACATAGGGGTACAGACCCAGAAATGTGTAGGAATGTGGGGATGGGCAGGCTCAGGGTCACCAAGAGAAAGCAGGTCTTCCATCTACCTGGAAAACTCTCTCAGGACATTGTGAGAGGGGTTCACGCAGCTATGGAGAAGTTGGCATCTTATTTCCTACCTTGTAATGTTCCAAACTCCTAGATTTCAGGTTTTCCGAGAGTCAATGAGTCCCTGCTCTCTGGGACAGCACATGGAAAGTGGGGGTCCTGTGGATTTTATGTGCTGGGTGATGATACTGTCTAACTCCTGCAAGTGATTAGATCAGACTGGCTGCTCTACAGGATCAAGAAATTGTTGGTATTGGGTTGGGTATGGTGGTACACGCCTATATTCCCAGCTATTCAGGAGGCAGAGATAGGAAGATTTTGGCAATACCAGCCCAGATAAAAAGTTGAAAGACTATTTGGAGAAAGAAAAGGAGAGAGGGGGGAGGGAGGGAGGGAGGGAGGGAGGGAGGGAGGGAGGGGGAATTGCTTATGAAAGTGGAGGTGTGGTTCAAATTGTAGAGTGCCAGCCTTGAGTGAAAAATCTTAATCAAGAATGAGATATCCTGGGTTCAACTCCCAGTACTTGTGCGCACACACACGTGCATGCGTGCGTGCACACACACACACACTCACACACACACACACTCTCACACACACACACACACACACACACACACAGAGGAATTGTTCATATCACCTGTGATTTCGGTGTATTTGTCTGAGGAAGATGGGCTTCCTTTGTCTTAAAGGTTCTGTGGAGCACTGCATGTGAATTATTTGTGACTTACAGTGGTGCTGCTCAGGGCCTCTCTTCTCTTGGGCATTCTGAAAAACAGTCAGACCCTAGGTCTCCTAGCTTCCTCAGCTTTCTCTTCCCTCTCAGAGTTTTCTGGTCCAAATCTAATACCACATCTCCTGCTGGACTCTACCTCTGAGAGTTAAGCTGGCCAAGATCAGATGAAATCCCTCATGCCCAGCCTCAAAGAACCAGGCAACAGCTTCAAGAGAAGCTGGGCCACCCCCAAAGCCCTTGTAGGTATGGGTCCTTCTAGTGCTGGAATGATAGCCAAGTGCAGGAGTATTGTAGGGTCTGGGTGGTGAAAAATCTGTTCTGCCCAGATTTCTCACCAAGGCAACTGCAGAGCCTGGGACAATTCCAACTCTCCCATGGACATCATCTTGGTCTGCGCCCGAGTCATCTATACAATGGTGAGGCCTGAGTAAGAGCCTGTACCATGGTGACATCATGGGTCATAAGAGGCTTCTCTTTGTATCTGTGCTCCAAAGTGCATAGACCCCACCCCAAGTTCAAGGACACCAGGATAGAGACATTAATGACCATGGCCCTGGGCTATCTGGTGTCTTCTATTTTACACAGTGCACAGATTCCCTCAAGGGCATCCCTGAGAAGTGAGGGACATGCCCCTTCTGTGTCCACCCTGGTGCTTCTCAGGGCTCTGTAGCCTGGGTCTCAGCCACCAACCACCTGGGAATTTCAGCATACAGAGCTCAAATCTTGGGCACAGAGACCAAGGCAGACACGGAGAGCTGCCCACCAGGAGAGACCCCTTCCCAGAGAAAAGCCCACATGGGTGCCTGTGCAACTCCCATCAGCTCTGCTGACCCTCGGCCTTTCTCAAATTTGACCTGAATTTTACAAAGCCTGGGCAACATGGACTAGGGAGCAAAAAGAGACACATCCTCCCCCATAGCCGGGTTTCCTTTTAATGCAGCCTGATGTTCTATTCTGAGAGCCACGCTCATTTGTGTGCGGGGAAGGTTGGCCTGGGGAGGCAGTATGAATAAATCATAAAGCGCTTTACAAATCGGCATTAGCTGGGAGCATGAGGGCTGGGGAAGATTCGAGGGCCCGGTTCTCACCACCCCTGAGAATTAATTTATTGGCAGTCAGGGCCATCTCGGAGCTGCGAGAAGGGGAGCCCGCGTTCATGACTGCAGGGAGAGGCCCAGAGGAGTTCCTCCAGATGAAACTAGGTCAGCATAAATGTGGCTCAGGCTGGGACCGGGTCACTTCCTCAATCATTGGCGTCTACCTTGGCTGTGTCACCCATAAGAGGGACTGAGCACACTTGGATTTAGTGCCTTCATGCCAGTCCCAGTAGACTCTTGGTGGGGTATCCTCCACCGCTTTCCTGGGACTTGGCTACTTTATTCCGTTAATGGCACAAGTATTTCTGTTCTCTCTGGCCCAGCAGCTGTCCCTAGCAAACTCCCCCCACCTCCCGAGCAAGCAGGGAGCAGGAGGAAAAGCAGGGCCTATGGTGCACAGGGTAAGCACACACCTTGAGATGTGGTCTCAGTTTGGCCCTCTGTGAAATGGGTCTTCCTGTGCAGGATTGTAGCCTGGGTAAAAGGAGACAGTTCCAACCAGCCATCCTGTGTGTGTGGTAAGAGCATGAGGGTGGGGATGCGGCCAAGGGTGGGTATCTCCCTTGCTCACCTTGCTTGCTATACCATTTCCTGGTGTCCCATGCTGCTAGCTATAAGAAATCTTCAAAGCCAGGGGACAAAGGAGACCTTGAAGTCTGCTTCCAACAGGATGCCCTGTGTCTAGGCCATTCTGTGCTGCCATCCTATCGATGCCCCTTTTGCTTCCCTTCTAGTTTCTGATATAAAACCCAGTGATAGACGGTGACAACCCCGTAAGAAAAAAAAGCTTGTGACAGTTACAAGATGGGCATCCTCTGGGAACTGTGCCATTCTAACCTGGCCAGGGGTGGGGCTTACATGAGCAGGAGTGCACGTGCGCACGCGCATGCACGTACTCAAGCCATATGGGGAAGGAAGCAGCTACACACTCAGCTCCCATCCCCCATCTCTGACCCATTCTAGAATCTTCCAGCTGTCACTGCCAGTTTCAGCAAGTCTTGCAAACAGCTCCAGCTACATGGTGCTGTCTCCCTGGACACTACTGGTGGTGGAGTCACCATGGCAACATGGCCCCTGTGGACACTGAGCTGCCTGGGAGGACGTTGCTGGGTGTGGGCCAGTGCCCCGTACCAGGGACAGGGGAGTGCCTGCATATGGCTGACCAGCTGACCCCAGAGCTGGCAAGAGAGCCAGCAGGTGAACAAGAGAGAATGGTCTTGTCTCCTTGTGAAGTTGTAGGCATAAACCCAGGCATGAGTAGAGAAGAAGGAAATCTGCAGATGGACAGAAAGGCCTTGAGGGACTGATGTCCCAGTGATCCACCGCTGCTCCCATGACCTCCTGGACTTGAGCAGCATCAGCTGTGATTAACCCAGGGACCCTGCCCACCCTGGCCGCTCCCTCTACCCCCACCCCACCCCTAATGTGGCAAGGTGCGGCTCAGCTGCCGTCACATAGGAGGCAGAGCTGAAAACCTATCCTGCCATTGGACAGAGAAAGCACAATGTTTCATCCTTTTGTAAAAAATATAATTTTAATGGCCTGGTGCCAGCCAGGATGATGAATAAACCTACCCCTTACCTAAAAAATATATATATAATTTTAGTTATTAAAATGTTGTACAAAGTGGTTACCATTTCCTAATTCAGATAATGTGTACATTTCTCTTGTGGACAATGTCATCCTCATCATTTTCTTTTTACAGAAATGCTTAGAAGCTAGGCACCAGTGGCTCACACCTATAATCCTAGCTACCCAGGAGGCTGAGATCTGAGGATCATGTTTTGAAGCCAGACTGGGCAGAAAAATCCATGACACTCTTATCTCCAATTAAATGCCAGGAAGGAGCTGTGGTTCAAATGGTAGAGTGCTAGCATTGAGTAAAAAACTCCGGAACAATGACCAGCTACCGAGTTCAATCCCTAGGATTGGCACACAAAAAAAGTGAGGGAGAAAAAGGAAAGAAAAAAAAAAGACTGGTATTTTTTTTTGGCATCTGGTAACTGGAGGAAAAAAACAAAACAAAAACAGACCAACAAGTTCTTAGGGATTTGGTCCACATGTACCCCAACCAAAAAAGATCTTTAATAGATGAGATACAACTCATGTACCATAAAGGGTGCACTTCCGTGACCTCAATACATTAATTCGACTTGAAGGCATCCCTGAGGTACAGCACAAAAGAGAGAGAGGCCCTGCTGTGCGACTGCTTGGGTTCGAGTCCTAACTTCACTGCTTCTTAGCTGTGTGACTTTAAGTTATCAGCGTCTCTGAACCTTGGTTTACTCTGCTGTAAAATCAGGATAAAAAGTCATGTTCTTAGTTCTTAGTTGTAAGAACTAAATGAGTACATGCAGGTAAAATGCTTAGTGCTAGCCACCTAGTAAAAGCCAATGAAGACTGGCTGCAATCATTATGAATTGTGAATGAGGCTGCCCAGGAAGAGAGTGGAGAAGCCCATGGGGTTTGTGGCAGCCTTGCCTGGCAGAATGATATCAGCTGAAGAAGCCCAGGCCTGGCTCTAACAGAACCTGTCAGGCCCTTCTAGAGCCTAAGACAGGAGGGTAGACACACACACACACACACACACACACACACACACACACACACACACACAGAACCTGTCAGGCCCTTCTAGAGCCTAAGACAGGAGGGTAGACACACACACACACACACACACACACACACACAGAACCTGTCAGGCCCTTCTAGAGCCTAAGACAGGAGGGTAGACACACACACACACACACACACACACACACACAGAACCTGTCAGGCCCTTCTAGAGCCTAAGACAGGAGGGTAGACACACACACACACACACACACACACACACACACACACACACAGAACCTGTCAGGCCCTTCTAGAGCCTAAGACAGGAGGGTAGACACACACACACACACACACACACACACACACACACACACACAGAACCTGTCAGGCCCTTCTAGAGCCTAAGACAGGAGGGTAGACACACACACACACACACACACACACACACACACACACACACAC